AATTTTCTGAAGAAGGGTCTAGGCCCGAAACGTCAGCTTTCCTTCTCCTCTGATGCTGCTTGGCCTGCTGTGTTCATCCAGCTTTACACCTTGTTATCTCACAATTGAAGATCCACTGGACAAGCTCTTTTCTCTGGGGAAAAAAAAAGGCCGGGATGTAATCTCAGATGTCAGAAAAAGATTTCTGATGTAAACATGTAGAGATATTATCTCCATTTTTGGAGAGTCCAAAACAATGACTACTTCCAACAAAGAATTCAGAAAAAAAATCTAATTACACACTGCTTAAAGGCTGTAGAACTTGCTAACACATTGGAGCGAGTAAGCCAAATAGGAGATGTCTTATGATGTGCATTTACACTGGGGGAGAAACTAACATACAAATAGTGTATTCAAAAATCAGTCTCATAACAGGATTTTTTCGCATCATTGTGGTGCAAAATTGCTCTACCCAAATGCAACCAAGGCTAAAGCTATACATCAAGTACATAACCTTGCATGAGTCCAGAGCAAAGTAAAACCAGGTGCTCTGGTTTCCTCCCAAAGTAGTGCAGGTTAGGTGGATGGGCCAAGCTGAAATTGCCCATAGTGTTCAGGGATGTGCAGGCTAGGTGGATTAGCCATGGGAAATGCAGGGTTACAGGGGTAGGATGGGTTGGGAGTGGGGTGCTCTTCAGAGGGCTGGTGTGGACTCAACGCACTGTATAGCCTATTTCCGCACAGTAGGAATTCTATGATTCTAAAACAACTACCAACTAGGTTCTAAACTACGCACAATTATTTCAAGCTGCCTTCAACAAATTTTTAATTCAAAATACACCCAAGGATTATACTGCAACAATAAGCCTTTACCCAGCAAAGTCCTTAAAACATTAAACTCAGTATTTGAACATCTCCATTGTTTTCAGTAACCAGTATGGACGTACCACACAAGGTGCAATCTGAACACACCAAAACAAAATTTGAAAACTATCTGTGGCGTTCAAAAAGACTGAACCTTTCCTTGATCAAAACTAACTACCCACATCGGTTCCTTATCCATTTATGACAATTTTTCTTTCCAAAATTCTTTGGCCCAGCCTCAATTTTTTTTGTATTAAAGACTTACTTCCATTAGCCAATGGATAAAGAGCCTTCACCCATTTATTTCTGACCTACATGTAATACTAGATATTAAGTTTCATTGGGCATTGTTTAAGCCCCTTGTATATTGTGTTTTACTCAGCTAGTGATCCCTGGACTGCCTCTTACATTTCCACCACCCCCAATTAGTATAAAGGCACTGAGGCAAACAAAACAGATCTGCACATTTATGTAACATTTTTCATGACACCAGCAAAGTGCTTTAGAACCAATGAAATACAAAGTTATTATTGTAATATAGGTAATGTAACAGCTAGTTTGCACAAACTCCCTCAAATAACAGATAGTAGGAACTGCAGATGCTGGAGAATCTGAGATAACAAGGTGTAGGGCTGGATGAACACAGCAGGCCAAGCAGCATCAGAGGAGCAGGAAACCTGACGTTTCGGGCCTAGACCCTTCTTCAGAAAATCTGAAGGGTCTAGGCCCGAAACGTCAGCTTTCCTGCTCGGCCTGCTGTGTTCATCCAGCTCTATACCTTGTTAGCTCCCTCAAATAACAAGCAAGATGAGGACTAGATGATCTGCTCTTCTCCTTTGGGAGCCTAGCACAACTTCAAAGGTTGGTTTAATTTGGGGTGTTACTTACTGGAAAAAAGTAACGGAGTTCAGATTGAATTTATTACTCTACTGGTTTCTGTTGCCTACTTTAGTCTTCAGGTTTACTTTCAGTTTTAGTTGTAACGGAATTGACAGTCTGTGGCTGCGGAACTCCCTGAATTATAACTTCTACGTTCCCATTTCAAATTTAACACCGATTCGCTTTCAATTACGAGCGTCAAAGAAGTCTTAGAGCCCCATGGTGAACTAAATAAGAGAGGGATCTTGACCTCAGAAGGCTATGAAAGCAGGATCATAAAATATTTATTCAAGGCAGGAAAGTTAGAGGTTATCGGAGTTTACGAGGAATGGGAAATCCCAAAACAATCAGGCCAGTCACTACCTCCTGGAAGGGCAGAGCCGGCTCAAGGGGCCGTACGGCCCAGTTCTGCCCTGATTTGTATTTTGAGCCCTCTCGGTTTGCCCGGGACTTTCTGGCCGTGTTACTTTCGTCGCTGTCCAGACGGCCGAGAAGGCGGTGAGGGCCGACACCACACAGTAAACTTCTAGAAGCTTCCACTGCAGCTGAAGCGCTCGTGTACCAGCAGAATGTCACACAATCCCTACAACTGCATCCCCCTCCAGAATCAATGCCGGGCACCGAATCTACGCCGCGACAACATGGCGGAGGAGACGGGGAGCTTTCCCCACCGGCCGAGGTCACATGGTCGACTAGACCCCCTCCCTCCACCCCTATAAAAAGCGCCCCTGGGAGCGGACAGCACCGACACCCCACAAGTCACGTGCCTCACCCCCACCCCCACCCACACTAGAGTCCGTTACCCGAGCGGCGCGAGAGCCCTTTTCAAACGCGGCGGTCATTCGAGCCGCGCGCCCATTCCTTTAAGCAGATCCCCCGCGCACTCCGTTAAAAATACACACCGGGGAGGGGGGCGACGAGAAGGAGCTGCTCCCCGTTTAAAGAAGCGCTATCGACCCAAGAACCCCCCACTCGTCCAAAACAAAAAAAAAATCACCTCTCATCAACACCGCCTCCCCCCTCCCCACAAAAAAAACACCTCCCGCATTAGGCCTCGCCCTTCGGCGTCACCGGGCTCCAGGCTGTGACGCACCCCGCCGCTGCGGGAGTAGTAGGGGGTCCACCCCGCTGTCGCGCCTAGTCCCCAGGGGAAGAAAGAAACTGTGTAAGGCCTCCCGCTTCGCCCAGGAAGCGGCCTGCCAGTCGGTACATCTTTCTCTCCTCTCCCCCCCCCCCGGGCAACACACGGCGCGGGCTCCGCCGCCATGTTGATGCCATGAGGCTTTCTTTTTCAGGCTTCCCTAGCTGGAAGCGGAAGTGGTTTCGCAAGACAGAAGGGGAAAAGAAACATGGAATAAAATCGCCCTACCACCTCAACAGGTAATTATTAAATATTTTTATTTGAAAGAAAACACTTTTTATAATTTGTAGCCTTTCGAGACCCGTACCTTGGTGATACGCCTGGGAAGCCCGCCTGCCATTGTCGCTCGATGTTTGGGCGGCGATGCTTTCTTTCGCTCGCTCTCCTGTGTTTCTCTCTCTTCCCACAAAACTGCGGGAGGAGCCGGAGCCTGTCGTCTCTCTCCTGTTTCTTTTGCCCTTCCCCCACTTCCGCGTGCGTCAGGGGAGCGTGCGGGGCCCACTGGATAATGTAGTGCGCCGGGCAGCTTCCGCCCTTTGGGCTGACTTCGCCGGAGGACTACAACTCCCGAAATGCACCGCGAGCCGTCTGCAGGACTCCCTTTAACCCTGCAGGCTGCAGCCTTGCGGGTGTGTGTCTGCACTGCTGGGAAACGAAAGTGATTGTGCGTGTCAGAAAATGCAAAGCAATAACACGAACAGCTGTAAATCGGGCAGCATTCAATGTTCGCTAGTATCTGCAACCTACTCGGTTGTGGAATGCTTTTGGAAGGCATAATGTCACCAGAGTCTCCTCCCCCACCATAAGCCAATGGATTTGCGCCACATTTTCGTGATTTAAGAGTTGGACAAGAACTCCACAATTTCCAACGCTCTTGAATTTTAAGCAACCTAGGTTATTCAACTTTTAAGATCCTGTAAACTTTGAACAATCGTTTATTCTGCAACGTTCAAAGCTTGCTGAAACTGGCTTTTTCTCTCTCTTCCCCCACCCCGTACATGACTAATTAGTTCCAGTGTACCCTTATACTGGCCACCTCACGACTTGCCCAACCCAATAAATTACTGAGCCCTAACTGTTTGACGTCACGCTGCGTTAACGAGGTCCTGCCCTTCACCACCCTCGAGTTCCGGGCTTTCGTACCTACAGAAACTAAACATCTACTCCACCCCCCACAACAGTATTGTCTCCAGTTTTTGTTCAACGCGACCTGTAGTTGAACCGGATTGGCCAACTCTGCAGAAATATTCTTTTGTAGTAGTCACTTCTCTCACATTTCCCACTTTTCTTGTAATAACTAGCCCATTTGATCCCGTAGCTGGTACCTGTCTGTAGCACAGGCTTCTGCCTTGTCCAAAAGTATAGTAAGCAGCTACTCTTTGAAACTTACATCAGTTATCAATGTGCCAGGTTACCATTTTTTAATTTTAACAAAATTGAATCACAGACAAAAAAATTTGGTTGGAGATAGTAAGAAGGTCCCAATACGAAACGTCAACTTTCCTGCTCCTCTGATTCTGCCTGGCTTGCTGTGCTCCTCCATCTCCACACTGTTGTCAAAAGTTTTGGTTGATTGTTTCAGTGGCTGGAATGGAGTTTAAAGACCTTGTTACATTATCTGAATAGTGAAGCATTTTTCAGTAGTTTAGACTTACCTCAGCTAACAACAAACCAGATAAACTGGTCATTTATATAGTTTATGTAAATTGGTTGCTGAGATGTCTACATTTGTTCCACATACTCAATTTATCTGAGCCACTTGCCCAATCATTGTACTTGCTAACTCTCTTACCTGTTTTAATTTTCACACTCGTCACAACTCATGTCCTTTTCTGATACCATAAAGCTCATTTGAGTTCCCATCAGACCTAATTGCCAACTTTCCAACAGTTAACAATGAACAGTTCTGAAAGTAATCACTGTGTGCCTTGTACATAATTATCTTAAACGTAATTAAAACCAAAGTTTTGGGCTAGAGAACAAAGTCAAGATTGGCCAGTTGGACTGGGGTAGTGGTACACCAATGACAGACCTGAGCAAGGTAGTAAGTAGCAGATTTTGGTATACATGGAATATAAAGCAATCATGACATGACAGCCAGGACAGAGAATAACCTAATCAAATACATGACAGGCAAGGGCCTTTCTAAAGGAGACAGGTCTGCCTTGTTAGGAGGTTTCTCAGCCCTACATTCCCTCTTCTCCTCAAACCCAACCCCAATGTCTTCTATAGGCATTTTAACAGCACTAGGTTTGTAGGAGGAAGCATTAGGGACAATTAGCAATGAAAAAGAAGGCCTACATTTGTAGGCAAAGGATGTGACTGAGATACTAAGTAACTATTTTGATTTTGACTCTACCAGGTCATAGTAAAAGGAGAACAAAATTGAGATATTGGTTGAGCTATAAAAAAAGCTGAAGAGGAGGTGTTAGAAAGGCTGCTTGTACTTTCAATTGATAACTCATCAGGACCTAAATGAGATATATTCAGGGATTGAGAGGGAAGTAAGGGTGCAAATTAGGTACTGGCTGTAAACATCCAGTCCTCCTTAAAGACTGAGGTTGTACCAGATGACTGGAGAATTGCAGATTTTTTTTTCCTTTATTCATTCACAGGATGAGGATGCTGCTGGCTAGGCAGCATTTATTGTCCATCCTTAATTGCCCTGAGGGTAGTTCAGAGTCAACGACATTGCTGTGGACCTGGAGTCACATGTAGGCCAGACCAGGTAAGGATGACAGTTTCCTTCCCTAAAGGACATTCGTGAACCAGATGGGTTTTTCTTGACAATCAACAATGGATTTATGGTCATTCCAGATATTTATTGAATTCAAATTCCATCATCTGCCATGGCAGGATTCAAACCAAGTCCCAGAACGTTATCTGTGTGTCTGGATTAACAGTCCAGCAATACTACCACTAGGCCATCGCCTCCCCTGTTACGCTCTTGTTCAAAATGGTTAAACAACCAGTAAATACAAGCCTGTCAGTTTAGTGGTGGGAAAACTTTAGCAACAATAATTTGTGACAAAAGTAACAGTTACAAACATTAACATTGGGAGAAGTGAGGAAAGTTAACAAGGATGTTTAAAGGCAATTCAGGCTTAACTAACTTGGTTGAAATTTTTGAAGAGATACAGATTGGTGAGCTTAAATGTGATTGATGTGGTGTAAATGGACTTCCAAAAGGCCTGTGCTAAGGTGTCATATAATAGACTTGCCACAAAAGCTGATTCCTAAAGAATAAAAGGAACAATGGCAGCATAGATACACTGCCCAATAAATGATGGGAAACAGAGTGGTGGTCAATGGTTGTTTTTCAGACTGGAGAAAGGTGTAAAATGGTGTTTCTCAGCAATTGATATAAAGATTGTTGCTTTTCATAATCTACATTAATGACTTGGGTGTATAGGACAGAACTTCAAAATTTTTACATGACACAAAATCTTGAAAGCATAATGAATCATGAGGAGGATAGTGTTCACCTTCAACAGATGAAATTTAACCTAGAAAAAGTGTGACAGGATGCATTTGATAACAAGAATGAGGAAAGGCAATAAGAAATGGTCAGTAAAGTGGATGCAGGAATAATGGGGTCTTGGAATATAGATGCACAAATTGTTGAAGATTACAGAGTAAAATGAGAAATACACATGGCATCTTAGGCTTTGAAAATGGAGAATATATAGATACAAAAGCAAGAATCATATCACAAATATTTACAAAGTAAAAATTAAGCCTGAACTGAAATATTGTGATTAATTCTGCCATTGCGTTTAAGGAAAAATATGATGATTTTAAAGAGGATGCAGAAAAAAGTTGTGAAAATGTTTCAAAGATGAGGAACTTTAGTCTTTGGATAGACTGGAGAATCTGGGCCTGTCATCCTTCAAAATAGAGCAGTTTGTGACATGACATTTGATAGAGGTGTTCAGAGTCATGGGCAAAATCATAAAACTCATCATAGCCACAGTCTGAGGATACAAGGTAGGCCCTTTAGGACTGAGAATAGGAGAACTTTCTTCACCAAGACAGTTAAGCCTGTGGAATTCTCTGCCACAGAAAGTGCTTTGAGGTCAAAAATTAGGTCAAAAGCATTAAAAGTTTAAGGAGTTAGGGTACAGTTCTTAGGGCTAAAGGGGTCAAATGATATGGGAGAAAACAGGAAGAGGATATTGAGTTGGATGATCAGCCATGATCATATTAAATGGTAGAGCAGGATCAAGGGCTGAATGGCCTATTCCTATTCCTGTTTTTTATGTTTCTACGTAAAATGGAATTGGATAAACATCTTAGGGAAATAACTTGTAGGGATTTAAGAAAAGTGTGATTAGCTAAATTGCACCATTTGCTGAATTGATTGAAATCTGTCCTGTGCTGTTATCATTCTTTGCTTAATTCTTGTGATTTGCTCTCATGGATTAATTTACCTCACAGTATAAGAATGTGCAGGAGATATTTTTGACAACAGGAAAATGTTTACAGAATGAGAGTGAGTGGTAATGTACTGAAACCAGATTTTGACTTTGTTAGATAACCTAAGTCTAAATTCCAGCCTGGAATATAGAAACATTCCAGTTTCTCAGAGTTTTCTGGTGTTAGTTTCATCACGTAAGAGGAAGGAAGGAACCTGGACTCTAGGTGTTCATTTCAAATTTGCTAAATTATTGTGGTAGATGAGGAAGCAATCAAGACTATTTGAATTCCTTTTATTTCTATTCTACAATTCAAGAAGGATATGGGTAGCTAGGAATAAGAATGCAGGAGCCACGTAGTGCAGTAACGTCAGCTCTTGGAATCAAAGATCTACAAAGGTTTACAGCACAGGAGGCAGCATTCAGCCCATCAGGTCTGTGCTAACCATCTGCTGAATCCAAAACTAATCCCACTGTCCACCTCTACATAGCCTTGTACCAATGCTCGAGTAATCACACATATCACTGTCTCCCCATTGCACTTCATCAATATGCAGCTTTTTCTCTAATGTCTATATCATTTTTAATCCCATACTCCGATCAAAACTAACCTCACTGCACACACTGTTGCATGTTGCTGCATTTCAAATATTTAGCTAAATGTTTCCTCAAAAGATCACCGGTCTCCATCTGAAATGTTCCAATTAGCAAAATATTCATGTTTTAACAATTAAAAACTATTGTAAATATCCCTAATCATAAATATTTTCTGGTTTTGTTTTCATGCTAAAATTTGGAGCATAAAAGCTGGTTTCTTCCCACTGCAGAACAAGAAGGTCAGAATCCAGGATTTTTGATGGCATGACAAGGGAAAGATGGAGCATAGTACTGTGGTTACAAGAGACTACTGCCTCTGTTTTAATGCCTTGGGCACAAAAAAGCCACTTCTTTTGGCACAACGATTCTCAATGGGTACACAGTGTAATCAGTAGCATAGAAATTTCCATACTGCTTTAATTGCAGCTTCTCCTCAGCCATCACCTGAAGTTATTGACTCATACAGGTAATACTGATCAGAATCTAGAACCTCATTCACTTGACTCTTTTTCAGGTATGAACTGAGATAGCCTGTGCCAACATACTGTTTGCCCACAGGCAGAAGCATAATTCTCCAATGTGATTCTCTCAACTGATGTCTGCTTGCATGCACTTCTATATAGGGGGTCTTGGAAGATGAGGAAATCCTGCAAGCTACATCTCTTTTCTCTAGCCCAGAGCGCACAAGTATGAATTGCCAATCCCAACCATTTTCCCATTAAAATCAGCCATGCTGGGGATTGAGGCAGTTGCATTTGTGCTCTGCATGAGTAAGTCTAAAACTTTCTAATAGAAGTCTCAAAAATGTATTTTAAATGTCTTTAATTTGAAAATACCCTCTATACTCAAGAGTCGATTTTTGTCTACAAATCTTTTGTCCAAAAACTCAAAATCTTTTACTTATCTCTCATGTTTCGCATTGATTCCAATGCATCAACTTGGTGAGGAGTTGATGGCATAGTAGTTACATCCCTGGACCAGAAATCCAAAGAGCCAGGCTAATGAGGCTGCACAGTGGCTCAGTGGTTAGCATGACTGTATCACAGTGACCCGGGTTCAATTCCAGCCTCGGGCGACTGCGTGTGTGAAGTTTGCACATTCTCCCCGTGTCTGCATAAGTTTCCTCCCACAGTTCAAAGATGTGCAGGCTAGGTGGATTGGCTATGGGAAATACAGGGATAGGGTAAGGGGGATGCATCTGGATGGGATGCTCTTTGGAGAATCAGTGTGGACTTGTTGGGCCGAATGGCCTGTTTCCACACTAGGGATTCTATGATTCTAATGTTCCGGTGCGATAGGTATAATCCTGCTGTGGCAGGTAATGAAATTTGAATTTGGTAAAATCTGAAAATTAAAAAATGCTAGCAAGAGACAACTATGTCAATTGTTGCAAAAACGTATCTGGTTCATTAACGTCCATAGGGAAGGAATTTTTTTTTCCTCTATTCATTTGTGGCATGTGGGATGTGGGCGTCACTCGCTGGCCAGCATTCTTGCCCATCCCTAATCTACCAAATTTACCAACCTGGGTCTGGCTTACATGTGACTCTGATACGCAGCAGGTTGAGTCTTAACTGCCCTCTGTACAGCCAGGGATGGACAGTAAATGTTGGCCTAGGCAGCACCTGTACCCCATGAATGAATTTAAAAAATATTCATTTGAAGGCAACTGTTCAGCTCCTCATGCTGTTAAGGTTACCATCTCACTGCTGCGTGCTATGTTCCCAGCAATTCTGTCCTCCGACATGACAATATAAGATCAAGAAGGAACATCAAATATACAACCCAGTTCAAACTTATAGTCATTGAATTTACAGAGCTGACAAATAATTGTACAGCAGCTAAAGAGATAAAGAAATCAGAGAAAAAAAAAATCGTTGGAGACTGGAGGATGCTGTCCACATGGCTTAGCCAGATGCCCAAGAGTGACATGTAGAGGAAAGCCTAATATGTGGCCGTAATGAAGTTGCAAAATATGTAAGTAAAAATCACTGGAATGGCCTCTCAGTTTCTTGCAGATCTATTGGAATCTTTGGCCTGAAACAATCAAGATAATTAGGGTCCACAGATTTCAAAGCCAACTCTGGATGATATACCAGGTTGATGAAGAAAAATAGTTTTGTACCACAATACCAGGATTTTACAGGACACTCATTGCATTTCAGTGGGTACAACCAAACACTCTCAAAAGAATGGATATTGATTGACCTATATTGGTAATAGTGAAGGCAACTGGCCAGGAGTAGATTCATTATTGTATTGTTGTGCATGACTGACAAAAGACAAGGCTTCTAACAATAGTGATATTGAAGAGAAAAACCCTTCCAAAACATGAATTCCTAAAAGAAGTAGTCACTTACCATCACAACAAAGGATGTATGAATTCAGGTGGCTTGAAAATCAGACTGAGGAAAGTTTAGAGGATTATGTGAAGAATTTTTTTTCTCATCTGGTATATGTTCCTTGTTGGTGATGTTGCTGAAGTTAGGTTATAAAACAGTGATGCTGCAGTGATTCCTGATTGTCTAACCAGCCTGTTCAACCATTGGATGTCTCTTCATGTTTTGGAGGGGCTTTTCTCTTCAATATCACTATTGTTAGAAGCCTTGTCTTTTGTCAGTCATGCACAACAATACAATAATGAATCTACTCCTGGCCAGTTGCCTTCACTATTACCAATATAGGCCAATCAATATCCATTCTTTTGAGAGTGTTTGGTTAAAGCCACTGAAATGCAATGAGTGTCGTCATGATCCTGTAAAATCCTGGTATTCTGTTGTGGGACAAAACTATTTTTCTTCATCAACCTGGTATATCATCCAGAGTTGGCTTTGAAATCTGTGAACCCTAATTATCTTGATTGTTTCAGGCCAAAGACATGAGAAGAAAATGAAATGATTGGAGAAGAGAAGACATTCACTGAGGGAGGCAGCAGACAGGCTCTGACAATATCAACCTTGTGTGAATAGGTTAGAGGCCAGGGATGAAATCAGAACTAAGATCATCATCGAATCATTGAATGAATGGGGTTGTCCAATGCACTTTATGGACACAAAATGATTATTTGTGGAATGATATGGCGAATGATGACATGAATGCTGATAAAGATGATGTTGATGACCTAAATGATGCGATTCAAAAACCAAAGTAGGACAAGTTATTTGGTTATGAAAATGAGGAGGGTGATTTTTATTGACTTTAATGCATGTTCAATACACAGCCTGTTGATGTTCTTTTCTATGCTGTGATAAAAACTGAATAAATTTGTATTAATTCCATGGCTCTTGTTTCTGATTAATTTGATACATTTGACTATAGTGTACACGAATTAATAACACGCTTTTTACTCTGCAGGCTAAACCTTTTTACATTGTGATCCTGTTTGGATGCTTGACCTTACCCATTAGTCCCAGACCTTAAGACTGGAGGCGGTGGGTGTTTAATTTTCAGAATTGATAAATTCAAAGAGCACATACTTCTGCACAGGGATTTTTGAAACAAAATTCAGGCCTCAAGATTTGGTCACGTCTACTGTTCTAAAAACTCTTGATTTAAAAGGATCACACAACTTCTAGTAATCGGGCACAGAACCATTGTTGTCTCTGAGATTGTGATTCCACTTGGGGTCCTAAAGTTTGAGAAGCCCTGCTGTAGTTATCATTTAAGAGTGGTTATTTGGGAGAGGTAGTGTAGGCAATTCTGTGGGACTGTGTCCCAACATCATAGTCCTGACACAAAATTATCCATAAGTATTTTGATTTTTGTGCCTTGCAAGTGATGAATTGAAATTAATTTTCCTGTGGAATGAATAAAGTTTCACTCAATCATATGTGTAATTTAATGTTATTTAAATATAGTATTTTATAGGAATGATATGAAAGAGTTGCATTGACCAGTACACATGTGGAGTATTTTCAAGTAGAAGTAACAAGGTATTGACTGAGCTATGGCATTACAAATACCGTAGATAACATCAGTATCTAAGAAAGACTAGCTTTAATGTGAGATTTCCCTGAGCTCCTGAAACTTGATTTGAGGCAAGCAGATTTCAGAAAATCTGTTTTTTTGCTAAGATTTAGGTTGATTTTATTTAAACATTTCACATTATGTTTGTTTGGCTATTCCATTGCCAACAGCAAAGGATGAGGTTACTCCAAGTAATCTCCATCTCCATCAAAGCCAACAGAAGCCTCAATATTACATTCCTCTCATTAACATGAATAAAGGGGTGAGATATTTGTTTTATCTTCCTGTATTGCGTAACAGACCACTGCAATAAATGTCAGATGTCAAATCATGCACTCCTGCAGTAGAACAGCTATAAAGTATTAATAACTTTCATTTATGTAATTAATTTTGATAGCATATGCATTTGTGTAATAACGGTAACAATGATGGAGGAATACACTGGTAGCCTGGTTAATAGTAATCCATGTTAGTGCAGAACTTAGTATATTACAGATCTGTCTTGTACCCAAATTTTTAATTTAAATTTTGTCATTTTGGAACTTATTTCAGAATATTGTTAAAGTGTTAATGTTCCACAAATGATTTAGGAAGCAGCCACAGAGATTACTAATTCTGTGTATATAGATATGTACAAGTCAAATTCACATTTAGGGGCAGCACGGTGGCTCAGTGGTTAGCACTACTGCCTCACAGCACTAGGGACCCAGGTTCAAATCCACCCTCGGGTGACTGTCTGTGTGGAGTTTGCACATTCTCCCTGTGTCTGCATGGTTTTGCTCCGGTTTCCTCCCACAGTCCAAAGATGTGCAGGTTAGGTGGATTGGCTATGCTAAATTGCACATAGTGTTCAGGGATGTGTAGATTAGGGAGATGGGTCTGGGTGGGATGTTCTGAGGGTCAGTGTGGACTTGTTGGGCCAAAGGGCCTGTTTCCACATTGTAGGGATTCTATGGATTCTATTCTATATCCAGACAGGAATCAATGCAAAAATCATGCAGTTGGCTTTCCTTTTACTGTTCTTCCCAGCTCCCAACCTGTTGGAAATTTTATTGGGAATGGGCAAAGCAATTTTTAGATTGGTAGGAAAGGTCAAGGACAACGGATGTGCCCAGCAGGTAAGCCTATTCAGGCTTCAGTGAGGGAAAATGTGGGTTGAGGGACATCTCCATCACTGGCTACCTTTCCCAGTTGGGATCCACTTCACCAAATTCTCACCTGCCCAACAGGTGTTTCTCCACGCCCCCCGCCATTGAACTATTCAACATGTTTTCCACCACCCCCCATCCCCCCTCACTCCACCATACATGGACTGCAGTGGTTCAAGAAGATGGCTCACCATCATGGGCAACAAATGCAGTCTTTGTCATCAATACCCACTTCCCATGAAAGAATTTTAAAAATTGCTTGATCTTAACATAATAACTGACAACTGTTTAGTGTCCAAACTGCACTGCAGTGTTTATTATTGTGCTGCTAATTTGAGCTGTATTGTGTTAGCAACTGCATTAAAGCATCTCTGCAGAAAGAGTTATTTTAAAATGTAAAATGAAATGCCCTAAGATGAATATTTCTTTGGTCATTTAATTTTTAGGGCATTGCACTGGAGTTCCAGTTGTTGGGCAGAATTCAGTCAAGACCTTAATAATTTTTGTATGTATTTTCTGGGCATTTGGTTTTAATGATTCCTTATTCACTCAAAATTAATTTCTTTGTTTCTTTCCAAATGGGAGAATTTGGACGATTAACAGGACATTCAATTCTGTAAACATAGGATTCTGGTTTAATCAGGGAATGTTTCATTTGCAATTTAGGAGGTTGAATTTGGTTAATATCAAAAGGATCTATTAACAAATGAAGTTAGAACAAAGGTACATTTGATCTCTCAAGCCTGTTCTATCATCCCTAAGATTATGGCCAATCTGCTTGTGTTTTAAATTTTACATTTCTATTTATCTCCGATAACCTTTTGTTTCCCTTACTGAACAATCTAACTATCTCTGCCTTAAAAACATTTAATAACGCCACTAATCATTCTAATAGTCATTGTGTATGCCCATTGGTTCCTTTATCTTTTTGAGCCTTGAAGCATTTTTCCTAAGACTCAGTTAGGACATCAGAGTTATAAAACAGAAGAATATGCAATAATAAACTCTAGAAAGGAATAACAATCTCACCGTTCGCTGGTAATGGTCAATTAGCAAGGCCCCATTAGTGGCCCCAACAGACGCAAGAGATTTTAAAAATTCTCCAAAAAAAATGCCAATACATCATCTCACTGAAGAGGAAGTTGTAAACTACTGAACTACTTATACCTGTCAGTTTCTACAGTTACAGTTGAATGCGCCATTCAACATAATTTTTGGAAGCAATTTTGTAAAAGAATCCAAAAACAAACAATTTAAATTTATCAATCTTTTGAGTAATGTCATTGGACCATAGCACTATGGAAGGGACATTTTAAAAAAAGTCATGAAGAAGCTGACTTGGCACCTTTCATATTCTGAATGTATAGTAAATCTTATATCTAGGAGTCTCTGATTCCACAGAAAAATGCTGATTTTAAACACTAGTGCCAGTCATTGAATATATATCCTTTCTTAAAGACATACGGTTTATGTTAAAACCTCCTCATCAATTATTGATCCAGCTTAATTTGCACTGTTGCTCTCAGTTGAGTTATTATTTATATGTTGGCCTTCAACCAGGCTAGTTGCTGGAGGGTATCAGTTGACATATTGGATATCTATGGCAGTTATGTCCTACCAAATGGATGAACAGGGAGCTGAATCTCAAATTTATGGCTGAGTGAAAATTTAGGTTTTTGTAATTTGCAGACACTAAAGTGTTTGATGCATATTTGGCTGTTGTATTTTATGCTGGAATACATATAAATCTGAAATCCATCTAAACTTGTAGCTCACATGGTTGAGTTTGATAGAAAAGAATGCACCAACACATGAAACAAAAAGTCAACATTACTGGCAATGCTCACAGCCAAAGATTTTTTTTGAAGACTAGTTGTGATCCCACATCTGACCGAAGTAGCTGCTGCTGTCTCTCAACGAGCACAGTTTAAATGTCAATCTAAGTATTTTCCTCTTGCTTGTAAAAGCTGAGTTTGCCAGCAATGGCGGATGGCACTTGAGTTTAAATACTCAATTTAGTTTTTTTCTTCAGTGTTTTCCTTAAAAGAATTGGCTTAATAATAAAGCAACTTTGCAAAATAATACATTACAGCACCAAAAGATAATTCCCATTTACATGCAGATTTAAAAGCACAAAAACTAGCTGTATACACACTCGTAGAAAAGTGAAGAGATCACCTAGTTAAAGCATTTTATTGGTATGAGGAATTAAATGTTTGTATTTAGTCTTAAGATTATCTGTTTTAAAACTGACATCTTCCTTGATTGCCCTGGAGTCCCAGGAGTTTGAAATTAATCCCCTGGACAGAGCTACAAGCAACCTTAAAGAAAAGTCATAAAAGCATTATAAATGTGTTTCTTTAGTCTTACTTGCGCAGTTTCCTTTATGAGTTACTAAAATAAATTATACTATAAAAGATAGATTTAACTGAGTGAGGTGGATGGAGGTGAGAGGATGTGTGATGAAGCTTTCGGAACGTTTATGTTCAGCCTGTGTTGACAATCTATTCTGACCAGAGTCCGTTTATGTTCGGGAAGATTATCTGGGAATGCAGTGAGATCTTGATCAACTAGGCTAGTCCAGCTGAGGAATGGCAATTGGTGTTTAATTTAGATAAATGCAAGGTGTTACATTTTGGTGGGTCAAACCAGGGCAGGATTTACACAGTCAATGGTACGGCCCTGGAGAGTGTTATAGAACAAAGAGGTCTAGGGGTACAGGTTCATAGCTCCTTGAAAGTGGGATCACACGTAGATAGGGTGGTGAAGAATGCTTTTGACAAGCTTGCTTTCATCACTCAGAGCATTGAATACAAGAGTTGGGATGTCTTGTTGCAGCAGTACAAGACATTGGTGAGACCACATTTGGAGTACTGCATGCAGTTCTGGTCGCCCTACTATAGAAAGAATATTGTTAATCTAGAAAGAGTGCAGAAAAGATTTACCAGGATGCAACCTGGACTGGAAGGTTTGAGTTATAAGAAGAGGTTGGATAGGCTGGGATTTTTTTTCCCCTAGAGCGTAAGAGGCTGAGGAGTGATCTTATAGAGGTTTATAAAATCATGACAGGCATAGATAAGGTAGATAGCCAACAGCTTTTCCCCGTGGTAGGGAAGTGTAAAACTAGAAGATATAGGTTTAAAATGAGAGGGGAGAGATACA